TTCTCTGACCAGCTTCTAGAAAGATCTAGTATCGTCTAGCTTGTGGAATAAATAAAATTGTTTCATATTAATATATCTTAAATTTTATAAGGCTGAGTTTCAAAATCAAAAAGTTCTCCCTTTGGGGGCTGGCCTGGTGGTGTAGTGGTTAAATTCGCACGTTCCGCTTTGGCGGCCCGGGGTGCGCAAGTTCGGATCCCGGGTGCGGAGATGGCACCGCTTAGCACGCCATGCTGTGGTGAGCGTCCCACATATAAAGTAGGGGAAGAAGGACATGGATGTTAGCTCAGGGCTGGTCTTCCTCAGCAAATAGAGGGGTATTGGGAGTAGATGTTAGCTCAGGGCTAATCTTCCTCAAAAAAAAAAATTTAAAAAAAGTTCTCCATTTTGCCTGAATGTTGTGTTAGTTGAGGAGTGGTCTCTGGAATTTGATTGATTTGAAGCTTATTTAATTGTGATTAAATTGTGGTTCTTGAAGTCCCTTGGCACTTCCCCTGCTGGCCTCCTTTGACCCTTTTTTCAGTTTAGAGCCTAGGACATGGGGGTAAAATGAAAGCTGCCGTGGCCTTGGAAGGGCTCTACCCTCTTTCCTTCTCCCCAAAGCTAAATATTCTGGAGCTGCAGTGATGTGCTCCTTCCAACCACTCAGCTTTGCTACAGTGGTCCCATCGAGCAGTAGCGTGCCTTTGTCAGTCCGTGAGCTGGGTAGGGACGATGTTGAAATAAAATGACTCAACTCTGCAGAATCGCATAAGTCCAGTGCTATGAGGGACGCAAAAGTGTAAGCACATTTCAAAACATGTATAATCTTTTTGGAGTGATAAGGCATGAGCTCACAGCCAGGTAATTGGATATGGATAGCCTGGATGAGAATGGGCTCCACCCTTGGCTGAGTACACTGGTTCAGGTCACTTCAGCTCTCTGAACATTAGTTGTTTTAGCTACAAAATGAGATTAATTCTCTGTACCTTGTCTTGCTCACAACATTACTATGAGGAGCGAATGAGATAATGCTTATGAAAGTGCATAGTAAAATCAGGTGGTGCAATTGAAATATCCAAAAAATATGAGGTAATTTATCAGAGGCAATAGTGAGTGGCAGGGCTTTTCATAAGAAGGGAGAGCTGGCTGTGGCTGGAGTGACCAGGAAATGCTTCATGAGGTGGGAATGGTCCGAGACAGTCTCTAGGATTGGGAGGATGAATGAGGTCAAGCATTGAGATAGAGGCTATGATGGGAGCAAAGGGCCGTTGGCAGGGCTGTTTGTGGAGGACAGCGAGTGTTTCCCAGCCTCATTCTAGAGTCAGACTCAATCTGGTGAAGCAGAAAGGTCAACATAAAATTATAGAGCCACTGAGAGCCACACCAAGAACTTTAACGTTATTATTACAGGCAAAGGACGGTCACTGAAGGTTGTTCAACAGCAGACTGATGTGATTGATGCTGTGCTTTTTAAAAGAATAAATCATTCGGCGTGATATGAGGTCATGGGGAGGAGACCCCGGTAGGAGGGAGACCAGTTAAAAGGCTGTTACAGAAAACCAGACGTGAGACGCTGAGGGTCTGAACTTGGGGCATTCACCAGCAAGCAACAGAGGAAAGTTCAAGTCTACATAGTAACAAGTTGGCTCCTTGGAACTGGGAGCAGAGAATCTGTGCAGATATGTGTCAAAAATAGCCAAGTCCTTTACTGAGCAAACATTTATTAAGCATGTGTTAAATGAGGGCACAGTGTGAAGGGAAGAGGGGATGTGAGAATGACTGAATATGTATTAAGTTTCTAGAACTTCGTTAATGGGGTAGATAAGGTGTAATTTTCACAGGTTATTGAAGTGTAATATACATTCAGAAATGTGCACAAAACTTAAGTGTGGAGCTTGGCGAATTTTCACGAAGTGAACCCACCCATGTTACTGGCACCCAGACTGAGAAACAGAGCATTATAACATGCCAGAAGCCTCCCTGTGCTATCTCCCCATCACTATCTCCCCATAAAGATAAGCACTGTCTCTTCTCTCCTGACTTATAACTGCATAGGTTAGTTTTACCTGTTGTTTAACTTGTGTGTCTGACATCTCTCACTCAGTAATATTTGTGATATTCATTCCACAGTAAGCATATAGCAAGTTTATTCATTTTCATTGCTGTGTGGTTTTCTGTTATCATAATTTATTTATCCTTGCAATTGCTGACGAATGTCTGGACTGTTTTCCAGCTTTAGAGTATTACGTTTACTGACACAAAATATGTTCTTGTTCTTGTATATGTTTCATGAATGAACATATGTCACATTTCTTGTTGGGTATATACCTAGAGGCATAGTTACTGGATCATAGGATATGTTTATGTTCAGCTTTAGTGGATGTTTCCAAATGGTTTTCAAAGTTGTACCGGTCCACCTTGCCTCCAGCAGTATATGAAAATTCCTGTTGCTCCATGTTCTTGGTGTTGTCTATCTTCGTTTTAGCCATTCTGTTCATAGTGTAGTGGTAGATATGACTTTTCAGAACCACAATACAAAGTATCAAGCTGTAAGTACCAAGAAGGGTTGAGGAGTGACTGGGAACTTTAGAGGAAGAGAGATTACATCCATTGTATATTTGGGTCAGGAGAGCTAGGCCCTGTAAGATAAGGATGATGACTATACATTCTCCAGGACCACTCTACATTTCAATAGTTGTGCTTATAAATGATGAAATGTCAGTGATTCAGTGTCTAGGCCACATCTCGCAGACTATCCAGCAGCAAAACAGATATCATTTCCTTCCAGAAAGTATGATGTCACAGGAGGTATAGACAGGATTTCAGCCTGCAGAGATGGAGAGAGGATATTCTGCAATGGGAATGATTTTAGCAGAGACGCAGATCAGTGACCAGACAAATGGCGTCCGTATTCCTGTTAATGAGCAGAGGACTGAGGGGATGTCTCGTGCTGTGGGCATGGATGATACTTCCTCCTAGTTTCTTAGAGCAGGTTAGAAAGCTCATTCCACTCCCAAGATGGCTTGCATTTAATCTGGATACAGGATGAGAACATCCTCTCTGCCGATAATGATCTCAACTCAGGGAAAATTAATTCATCCATCAGTCATATTTCAGATATATCTAAAAAGTATATATACTCTTAAAATAAGAGGGAGAAAGCCCTCCATAACCTGTTAAAATTTAGTGTCTCACTGCTTATCTATTAGTTGTATATTTGCTCAGGGACAAAAAATGCCATTTCTTTGTTAGCTTCTATCTTGACATGTGGAACTTTGCCAGATGTTTATTTCAATAGTGTGCAAGGCTGGAACCAAATCAGTTTGAAGGCTGGTGTGAATGTTGATCATGTCTTAGAGCATTTCTTCTTTGGCCTGTCAGCAAATGTGAGAAAGTATACCTTAAATGATCTAGCCAGGGGAATTAAAGTGGGCTTGCCTGCCCCTGAGAACAGCACTTTTCCATTAAACATCAGTCATCTGTCGCTTCTCTGTCAGGATGTGGGCTTGTCAAGAGGGCAGGTGTGAGGGAGGAGCAGCTGTGAGAGGGGTATTTATCGGAGGGCATCCAGACCCCCTTTTGGGGTGATGTCTCAAGAAGTCTCACGATGTCCCTGCCTGGTCAGACCCTTGGTTCTCTTCTTGAAAATCATGTCAAGGGGCAGCTTGGTGTTATAAAAAGAGCACAACTGAAAACTTCATGTGGGCCCCAGAACCAGCTCTGCCCTTCATATTAATAATGGTCATCATGTATTGGGTCTCCACTGTGTCATGGTGCCATACTATGCACCTGTGCTAAAATTTTATATATATACACACACACACACACATATATGTCTGTGTGTGTTTATATATGATTTAATTTTATAATAATTATATATACATGATTTTCTTCAATTATCAACTCAACTCCATGAGCGAGGTTCTATTATCACCATTTTACATGTGAATAAACTGAAGCACAGACAGGTTAAAGAATACATCTAGGGCCGGCCTGGAGGCACAGTGATTAAGTGCCCACATTCCGCTTCAGTGGCCCGGGCTTCTCTGGTTTGGATCCCGGGTGCAGACATGGCACCACTTGGCAAGCCATGCTGTGGTAGGCGTCCCACATATAAAAAGTAGAGGAGGATGGACACGGATGTTAGCTTAGGGCCAGTCTTCCTCAGCAAAAAGAGGAGGGTTGGCAGCAGATGTTAGCTCAGGGCTAATCTTCCTCAAAAAAAAAAAAAAAGAATACATCTAAAGTTGTGCTGCAATGGAGATGACAGGATCTGAATTTAGCCAGTTTGAACTTTTAGTTTTATTAAGGATATTTCCAATGTTTACAAAAGTATACAGTATGGAACAACGAAGCCCCATGTACGTATCACTCAGTTTCATCAATTATCAAATCATGGTCAATCTTGTTTCACTTATACCACCACCTGCTTTTCTTATCCAATGTTTTCTAAAAAAATCCCAGATATCATGTTATTTTGCCCTCAATTATTTCAGCATATATCTCTACATGCTGATTTTTAAAAACACAGCCATGGTGCCATGAGGGCACCGAAAATTAATTTCTTAATGCAATCAAGTATTCAATATGTGTTCAAATGCCAATTATTTCAGTTTGTTTGATTCAGAATGCACCTAAGGACCACACATTGTGGTTGGGTGATAAGTTTTTTAAGCATCTTTTAATATATAGGTTCCTTTACTCTGCTTCATTCCCTGTAGTTTATTGTTAAAAAAATCAGATTTGTCCTGTAAAGTTTTCTACCTATGGATTTTGCTTATTGTATACTTCTCATGGGTTTAATATGTTGATGTGTCCTTTTTACTTCCTGTGAACTGGTGATTGCATTTAGAGGTGATATACATATATATTTTTTTAAAGATTTTATTTTTCCTTTTTCTCCCAAAGCCCCCCGGTACAAAGTTGTATATTTTTTAGTTGTGGGTCCCTCTAGCTGTGGCGTGTGGGACGCCGCCTCAACATGGCTTGATGAGCTGTGCCATGTCTGCATGCAGGATTTGCACTGGCAAAACCCTGGACCGCCAAAGCAGAGCACGCAAACTTAACCACTCGGCCATGGGGCCGGCCCCAAGAGGTGGTATCTTTTTAAATCGAGCAAACAAGAAACAAAGATGATTTTCACTTCTTCAGGAAGCTTACTTGATTGAGTTACTATTTCAAGTTCAGATAATCTTGTTTCTCTCTGGAAATGCTGAAGAAGACTGGAGATTATGGATCAGTGACGGTGTGAAGCATAGGGATTCCACCTACTTCCGAGGAGAGTCCACATTTAGCATCATACTGTTCCCTCCAAAGGACATCTGACTCTGATGAGCAATTTTATTCTTCTCAAAGGTAAGGAAACTTGAGTTATGAAATCCAGTGGAAAGGTTTTTAAAGATGACATTGTGGGGGGCACTAAGCTGTTGAGCCTGTATCCCACTGTCTAGAAGGAGACGAGAGTGAGGGCAAACTCAGCAGAGGATGTGGGTAACAGAGAGGTGGCACCAGGAGCCAGAGAAGGCAACAGCTACATGTAGTCAAGTGAAGGAGGAGACGGGGTGATTTCACAGCTTATTTGTATTGCATGGAACATGGACCTAATATCTATTTTCATTTCTTCTTCAAAAAAAAATCAGGGATTCAGTCCAGAATAGAAGTCATGTAATCTAAGTGATTCAGGAACCTGCACAGCTCATTGAGTGAGCAGTAACTTTTTATATTTGTTTTTAAATTCTGCTACTTAACTTTATTTGACTTAAGTCAAACTCTAGCTCGGGGGATCCTGGAACAACTTTGCAGTAGAGATTTCGTGTGCAAGATCAGAGGCTCTGCAGTGTGGGGTATGAGGGTGACTAATTTCAGGGAATATCTGAAGAGGGAGAAGGATTGAGAAGCAGCAGGGGCTGGAGCCTCATGGCCGCAATCATCACTTTATTCAGGGGCTGGGACAGGCCTCAGCTGTCCTGTCGGCTGTGACAGCTTCACATTTCCAGCCCCCCAGGCAGAGGCTCCCTATATTATAGCATCTGTGCGTCAGCCTGTCCATATTCAATAAGCTCGCAGCCTGACTTGGGCGGGACTCAGGGACAAACTTCAATCTTTGGATAACCTTTCAGGACTCCCCCTCTACTTGGGAGACGCCTGGATTTTATAGCATCGCTTTCTTTCATCCCTCTGATACTGGGCCCAGTGTGAGCGATGGCTTCTACCTTTTTTTAAAGACTTGGACAACGACACTCATTTTCATTCTGTTTTTGGCACCTATGAGTCTGTGCATTTGCAACCCTGCTGTAGACGGAACTCTCTGACTTTGAAAGAACCTCACTCAGTTACAACATTCTTAGTTTCTCTAGGGCCAGGAGAATGGTCTTCATTTTACAAGGATGTTTGGAGTCCCCGTGACTAGAAAGTCTGTCTCTCAACCTGCCTTAGGACTTCGCAGGAGCAGCTGCGTCCTCTGGAGGTCCAGCCAGCTGGTCAGAGTTCAGTGTGACCTCATGCTTGGCAAACCGGCATCTTCTACATTTGCTGATTCTGCCAAGCTGAGGAGATGAAGTGTGTTTAGTGCCTTGTGAAAGAAACTATAACATCAAATTCAAATAAAAGCTATTTTACTTATGAGTTGGCACCTGTTCTCTCCTCTCTCTTCCTTTCCTCCCGCCCTTTCCCTCTCCTGCCCAGCTGCATAGAACAGTAGCTCCTCTGTGCTGAAAGTAGGTGACTTCCCAAGTCACTCTCCTCTCTCCTGTTCCCTCTGGCTCCTTGTTATCACCATGACATTGTCATGCAATGTGTGAGAATCATGGTAATTTCTATAACAACCCGTAGCGTTTTCCTAAATAAAGGGGGGTGACTAGTAAGTGTTAGGAACTCAAAGGACAGTGGACTGAGTGCTCCTGTGAGGCTAGTACAATTTTGGAAAGGTCCATTCAACAGGAACTTCTTAACTGAAGCTCTACATTTCACAGATGAGGAAAGAGATTCAGAGGAGGTCACAACTTGCTTAAGGTCATATAGGTTGTTTGTGTAATAAACTCTAAAACTGCAGTGTAATGCTCTTTCTGCCTGCTGTTCTATACTGGATACCACTAAAGCCCACTGGCATATGATCTCCATAAAGGCAGAGATCACGTCTGTCTTGTTGACTAATGTTTCCCCAATGCTTACCACAGAAACTACTTATCTTCTGAATTAATGAATAAACTAGACTGTAGTTTCTCAAACTGGGACACATGCTGTGGTATATGAAATCACAGTGTAAAAAATAGACATAGTTAAATGAGATAGTTAAATAATTCAAATCTATTTGCCCACTGGATTAACTTATATATTATAACTAATAACTTAAAATTTTACTTTTAGGTTAATTTATATTGTGAATGGTAAATTTGCACAGATTTTAAAAACAGAATGAGACAGCATCAAAGTCATTATGTATTCACACAAAACTTTTGACCTCTACCCCAGAGGACCCTGTGTTCTGAGATCTTCCAATATTTAGAGAAAACCTAGAAATCCAGTTTTTAATGTGATGTTTGGTTTTTAAATATTGACAACTTAACTTACAGATTTTTAAAAACTTGTGTGGAGCAAAAAATAAAAATCTTTGTTCCTGAGCACCTGTTAAAACATCTGTAAAAAACATATATGCTTGAACAGGAAGCAGATGGTGGACAAGACCAGACAGGTACCAGTTGCCATGGCAGCTGTCATCCTGGCCCTGGATGCTGGAGGGGAAAGAGAAGAGACTTGGTAGGGTAGGATAAATTTCTCTTGTAAACATTTCCCTCTGTAGGCAGCCTCTAAGTAAGAATAACATTTTTAGATGCTTTATAGAAAGCATAATCATGTCACAAAAAGAGAGGAGTCAAACAGAGGTAATTCGAGGAACATTTCAAACCTATTCTGTTGCTGAAGTGGTCATTAGCATGATTATGGAAATAAATCAAAGTTAAATAATTTATTCGACCTCATTGAGTATTGATACTATTTTTGAGAAAAATTCATGAGGGTCATTTTTATTACCAGTAGATTAAAGCAGTCTACATGATAACGACTGCATAAATTTATGAATGAATCTGAAGATTTAACAGCTCATAAATGGAAGCACACATTTGGTCCGAAGATAATTAGATAATTTTCCCACCTCAATCAAACCAACACAAGATTAATAGATTTTCTTGTGCCCTTTTTTTGTTTTATAATTTTTAATGTGCTATATATCCTATTTTACTTTATTCTAAAGAAGATACATATGCTGTTAATGAGTGATGTATCTAGACATTCTATATGAATTGAACTAAGGTTTCCTTGCCAAACCCCCACCTGTGCCGACACAGCCCCTGCTCTTCTTGTCTGTGATGGAGTCTCTCCCCAGGGGCCCTATCTCAGCTTGAGGTTTATATGGAGCTCCGACAGGTACCCACACCACTATGGCCTCTCTCAGAGCACAGAAATACACTGCTGAGTTCCCGAGTTTGAGGCTGTGATAGTGAGGCTGATGGAACTGGCTGATTTCTGGAAGTTCAGAGAATACTGACTCTCTGTTGTATTTTGTCCATTGTAAGACTCCTGAAGAATAAGGAAAATCGTTTTCCCACTTGGAGGTTGTTTGTACCAGAATAAAAAAAATAACTACAATCACAGCTTCAGATACCTAGCCCAAGGTTGCAGGCTCCTCCTCTACCACGGAAATTGTAGACTGGGCTTGATTTACCTTCTGGGTCCTGCTGGATCCTGGGGGAAAGAGGAGAGAAACAGACTGATCTCTTATTTGTAACCATGAGGGGATAAGGGATGAAGTGGCTTAGGACCCAGTGCTCTGGTTCCATTGCTTATTATCCCTCCCTATTAAGTCTTACCAGATAACAATAATCTGCATCTTTCCACCGCCTTCTGAACTAAGAGGAGCTTGAGTCCTGTGTTTGTGGCCATCCACCGAGACAGAAAGAGGCTGTGACTGCCCTCAGCGTGTTGGTGATCAGCGTATTGGTAGCTCTTCCCTTGAGTGAAATGTCTTCTGTTCTATCTAAAATCCAGATCTTCATTTCTGTGCCCTGTGCTCAAGAGTTACAGGCAAAGTTACTGGGCTGTGTGATGCTTCAACCCCCACAAGGAAATAGAGTTAGCAGACACAGGACAAGTTTGCCTGTGTCATGTCACATGCTTCCTGTATGGGTGGGAAATACTAGACTTCTGAACACCCATTTTGTCTAATTATAACTTATTGGACTGGAAATAAACAGTGGTAAAGTTGAATCACATTCAGTTCATTCTTCTTTTCTTACATTATTTATTAATTTGTTTAATTAATTTTTTTGAAGAAGATTAGCCCTGAGCTAACATCTGCCGCCAGTTCTCATCTTTTTGCTGAAGAAGACTGGCCCTGAGTTAACATCCATGCCCCGTCTTCCTCTATTTTGCATGTAGAATGCCTGCCACAGCATGGCTTCACAAGCAATACATAGATCCGCACCCAGGATCTGAACGAGCGAACCCCAGGCTGCTTAAGCAGAATGTGTGAACTTAACTGCTGCGCCACTGGTCTGGCCCCCAGTTCATTCTTCTTTGATGGAAAATGTGGGATTTCTGTAGAAGACAATTTATTATGAACTATGGTGAGTACATGGGATAACATAGTATGCACGTTTGTCTTATAGATGCCTCCTTTTCTCCTGAGAGAATCATGGTGAAAGTAATCATGGGGTTTTGATTTTCTAACAGCAAGGCAAAACTTTTATTCTCAGTCTTTGTTCCTATCTTGCATGGAATCCACTAAAAGTTACATGAGATATTTTGTTGTTAATGAAGGATTTCACATCGTGCCTCCTGAGTTATAAAATCTGTTAAGCGTGTGTGCCATGTTAAGTAACAGCAAGAAAAAAGCATGTATGTATATGTGTGCACACATTATGTGTGTATGTAAGCAAAAATAAATTCAGAAAATTCTACTCAAAGCCCAAGTATCTGTTATAACTCAACACGTGCATTTCTGAAATACATCTTGCTCTCCTAAACCATACCTGCTAATTATGGTGGAAATTGGGATAGAGAAAACCCTAAAAACATATGACTTTGTAGCCAAAGAATTATCAAAAACATTAGAAATCCTATTAAAAATGCCAGCAGAGGGGCCAGCCCAGTGGTGTATTGGTTAAGTTCACAAGCTCTGCTTCGGCTGCCCAGTGCTTGTGGGTTCGGATCCGAGGCGCAGACCTATGTACGGCTCATCAGGCCATTCTGTGGAAGCATCCCACATACAAAGTAGAGGAGGATTGGCACAAATGTTAGCTTAGGGACAATCTTCCTCATGCAAAAGGAGGAAGATTGGCAATCGATATTGGCTCAGGGTCAATCTTCCTCAACAAAAATCAAAAAACCCCAGCAGAGTTCAATCTCCATTGGCATTTTTCCCTTGCATCATAGTCAGTGAACTCTTTGCAGCCTTAGGTATTGGGACTCATGTTTCATTTCTCTAGATATAGACCTATGAGAACATGTATTTCCAAAATGAGCAGGTTCAACAAAATTTTAAATGTTATTGTCCTTCATAAATCAATATTTTTAACACCAGACATGGGATAGCCCTGCACTGTTTATCCTCCATTTTAGCCTTACCAGGTAGCTTTATCTGGAAAATGCTAGAAATTCTTGAAGCCACTAAAACAAACTCTGCTAACACTGAATTCAAGTTGAGCCTTTTTTTTTATAGTGAGAAACTTTCCCTGATAGTTCTTTGGTTTGACACGAATTATTGATTGGCTTAGAAAAATCATGGAGAATGAAACTTCCACGTCATATTGACATCATACTTGTATTTACTAATTGTGTAAAAAAGAATTTATTTTAATGAGATATACAATGTAGCAGAACAGAAAATGCTGTGTCCTACACTCTCAATGAGTAGACATATTTGCCACATCAAGTATTTTTCTGTGTATTTGGAAAACATAGTCTCCATTTCCATGGCAAATACCTGTATATCTCCTGGTAACAGCCACTGACGCTCAGCTATGGCTCCTAGAAGAGCCAGGCTATTCCATCAGAGAGCGTCTGAGCAACTTTATGGTTCAAGAATACAAAAGATAGTGACTGAGATTTTTGGCTTCAACAGGCAGATATATATATATATATATATATATATATATATATATATGTATACACACTCCTGTGGTTGACTATTAAGTAAACTGCAGCTTTTACTATTGCATGAGATTCTTCTTCATCAAATGGAAACATCAACAATTATGAAATGTAAGAATGCAATTACACTCTGCAGCAAAAAGAAGACAGACTTCTAGATGATTCCATCAACTAGTTGTTAAGAATATTGGCCATGCATCAGACAGATTTAGGTCCTAGCCAAAGCCCTGCTCTTAATTGTGTATGTAGCTTTGATGAAGTTACTCAACATCTCTAAATCTCAATTTTGTCATCTGTAAAATGAGAATTTGGTAGTATCTACCTAGAGAAATGAGGAGGAGTTTAAAGTGCTTAGCCCATTGCCCATAAAACTGTAAGTGCCACAAATATTTGGGAACAAATAGAGTTTGGTGAGTGAATAAAATGATTTGTGAAGGAAGCATTATTTTAAGACTTGTATGGTATTTTAATGCCCCGTGTTCCAGAATCCTAAAGCAGGAAAGTGTCACATAAGCTATATTCTCAACACCTATTAAAATGACGGGACATCTGAATAGATGCTCAAAAAGGTTTCTTGAATGAATATAGATGTAGTTTGGAATGATATCCCACTTTGATATAAATAATATTTTAAGGGATATTTCTATATATTATCTCATTTTATATCCATAAAGAAATGTTTGTACCAAATAAAGCAAAACAAAACAAACAGAAACCTCTAATTCAAAACAAACTAGAGTTTAAAATAACAGGTCCCCTGTACATGAATGCTCATAGCAGCATTATTCATAATAGCCACAAAGTGGAAACAACCATTATAACTATCAACTGATGAACAGATAAGGAAAATATGGAGTTTTCATCCAATGGACTATTATGCGGTCATGAAAAGCAGTGAAGTACGGATACATGGATACACCCTGAAAAGATTATGCTATATGAAATAAACCAGACATAAGAGGTCATTTACCATATAATTCTATTTATACGAAATGTGCAGACTCGACTCATCCATAGAGACAGAAATTAGGTTAGTGGTTGCCAGTGGCTGGGGGAAAAGGGGAAGGGGAGTGACTCTAATGGGTACAGGGTTGCTTTGTGGGTGGTGTTCTGGAATTAGATAGTGGCGATGATTGTACAACTCTGTGAATATGCTAAAAACCACTGAATTGTACACTTAAAAAGATAAAGTTTAGTGCTCGCTTCTGCAGCACATATACTAAAATTGGAACGATACAGAGAAGATTAGCATGGCCCCTGCGCAAGGATGACACGCAAATTCGTGAAGCGTTCCATATTTTTCAGCTACCACTGAAATCAGGATCTCCGGCTATCCCCCAAGACAGGGCAAAGGGCTCCCCGAGTTCCTGGGGAACAGGACTGGGGCTGGGGGGAGTTCCAGCGATCCAGCTCCATAGCCTAGGGGGAAACCCTACAGGCTCACAGCAGCCTCAGGGAAAGCCTCTGCACAGCACTAGTAGAAAGCACCCATCCAGCAGCCACAAGGCTGGAAGACCCCGGGACAAAAGTAGCATAGCCAGGTGAATTAACCACAGACTGTAGAAGATGCCAATAGCTCTCCTGCGACCCACAGTGGACAAGTGAGCTTTTGTGGGTGCCGACAGCGACGGAGTGACAAATATAAGTGATCCCACCCCTGGCCGCTGGAAAAGCCCATAACACCGTTGCAGACCCCAAGGAGGGAGCACGTCTAGGTGGCTGCAACAGTAGGCACCAGCAGCCTGAAGCCCCCCTGTGACAGCCCCCACGGCAGAGGAGGGAATCCAAAGGACCACTGTGACTACGAGGAGGGGCCCAGGCCCAGCTAGCAACTGCGGACAGGGTTCCTGGTTGGTGCAGTATAAACAGCAGCTCCCCCACCGCAGCAGCTGAAACAAGTGAAAGGAGCAACTAAACTCTATCTCTATGCGGAGGCACAAATCAACAACATCAAGCAATATGAAAAAATACATTAAATCTCCAGAACAGAAAGAAAATAACAAATACACAGAAAACAATCCCAAAGAAAATGAGATATATAACCTAAATGATGATGACTTCAAAACAGCCATCATTAAAATACTCAATGAGTTAAGAGAGAATTCTGACTGACAACTCAACGAGTTCAGGAGCTATGTCACAAAAGAGTTTGATACAATAAAGAAGAACCAAACAGAAATATTGGAAATGAAGAACACAATAGAGGAGATTAAGAAAAAGCTAGATGCTCTGAACAGTAGGGCCGATAATATGGAGGAAAGAATTAGCAATTTGGAAGATGGCAATATATAATGGCTGCAGGCAGAGGAGGAGAGAGAAGCAAGACTAAAAAGAAATGAAGAAACTCTCCGAGAATTATCAGACACAATTAGGAGATGCAACGTAAGGATTATAGGTATACCAGAGGGAGAAGAGAAGGAGAAAGGGGCAGAAAGCCTATTCAAAGAAATAATGGCTGAGAACTTCCCAAATCTGGTGAGAGAGATGGATCTTCAGGTGACAGAAGCCAATAGATCTCCAAACTTTATCAATGCAAGAAGACCAACTCCACGGCATATAGTAGTGAAGCTAGCAAAAGTCAACGACAAGGAGAAAATACTAAGGACAGCCAGGCAAAAGAAACTAACCTACAAAGGAACCCCCATCAGGCTATCAGCAGATTTCTCAGCAGAAACTTTACAGGCTAGAAGAGAGTGGAATGATATATTCAAAAATCTGAAGGACAAAAATCTATAGCCGAGAATTCTCTACCCAGCGAAAATATCCTTCAAATATGATGGAGAAATAAAAACTTTCCCAGATAAACAAAAATTAAGGGAGTTCATTGCCACAAAACCTCCTCTTCAGGAAATCCTCAGGAAAACCCTCATTCCTGAAAAATCCAAAAAAGGAAAGGGGCTACAAAACCAAGAGCAGAGGAGATAAGTAGAAGGACAACAACAGAGAGTAGCAGCTCTACATCAGAACAGATTAAACCATGGGACGAGAAACAAAGGAAACTGAAGAAAACCGGAAAACAAGACACAAAATGGTAGTGGTAGGCCCCCACGTCTCAATAATCACTCTAAATGTAAATGGATTGAACTCTCCAAT